ATTTAGTATATTTTAGTGACCCATCCGGATACCGAGGCGCAGAATTCATTCAAGTTCTCTTCTTCGCAGTTTCCAGTTATTGGGCTGTGTCCATTTGCGTTTATTATTTCGAGTTTCTTGCAGACCTTATTAGTATTCACGTAATATCAATTTTCAATACATTATATTTAGCTATAAAATGGAAACTAGTAAAAATGAACATTATTTTTTTATTTCTAGTTCGGTTGTTGCGACGAAGGAGAATAATATTTAATTCTCTTCATTTTTAATTTTTTCGAAGTTCTCAGTAAAATCAAGAAATCTTAGGGCCATTTCATATTTTTAAAGAAAATCACGGTCCTCCCAATCACGTTATTGTGTGTTTTCCTTGCTTGACGTTATTCTTCATTCACATGCGCCCTCTCTTTCTTTCGGCTGAATATAAAATAAGTTGACGAATCTGCGCGCAAAAGCTGGATCCGTTGTAAGAAATACTGAAGCACTGCACAGCCGTGGGCTGCCGTGTAGACAGAGTAACGCACGGCCTGTGTTGAACTTCGCTCCTTCAATGCGCATGCATTTTTCCGTTACGTACGAAACACGGGTGGACGCGCCTTTAAGGCTACACAGACTGGCGCAGATAGTCACGCGGTTGCTTTAGGCTAAAGTATCCCGACACTAGTAAATTTGTAGCCCCACGTGGCAGCACCAAAAATAGTTATAAAAATTTACTTTACCGATAACGGTTGAACAAGCTCGATTTCATCGAAACGGCATTTGTACGCCTTTTTAAAATAGAATTTCGCCGTACGATGACCTTTTCCCAAAAATCTAACAAAATAACGCGAATTTGAAATTAGTCTCAAACATCCAGACAATTTTAAAAGCTGTGCTATAGCGCAATGGCGACATGCTTTCTAATCCAACGCCGTGACAATCATGCAAATCGGACAATAGAGGAGGCGTCGTAAAGTGAATTTACGAAAAACACTTGCCCCCCCCCCACTTCCTCTTTTGCCCGTTGCGTCACCTATCCGCCCGTTGTGGGCCTTCTGGCAGCGCGTGGCCCGGCCAGGCCCGCGGTTAAAGCGTTGTGCGACATCTAAGATTAATTTTTAGCTCTGCAAATAATTCAGCAATTAAAAAATAACAATAATCCTTTTTCAGCTTTATCGGTAGCGTCTGCGATGACGCAATATGTCCTATATAACAAATAAGAGTTACACCCTTATGATCAGTTTCTCTTACTTCCTCTACTCAAGGATGGTTTCCTGACTGTTCTGGCTTCTTTACCTAATTTCATTTCTATACGATCTCCTCTGTTCTTCTACCTGGCGTTCTACACACTAAACGCTTGCTTTAGAAGCGTTGTCACTATGTATCGAAGCATTCCTCCCTTCACTCTCTGAAGTCGAAAGATATATTTTGCCATTGATTGTTTGAACAAATTAATTTTCATCTTATTTCGTGTGCGCTTCTGCCTGTATCCTATGGCGAGAAGACAACTCGCATAGTCGAGTGCTTGCGAGCAAACCGCATGGGAGAGCATGATCTTAGCACGAAGATTTCATTCGTTATGAATCCCGCAAGCGATTTTCGTCGCCTCTACTATATACATAGTTTCACGTGACGGTGCCCCCGGCTGCGAGAATGGCCGATCAGAAAACACATTGTTAATTTATTTGGCCGTAAACAATTTCCGTGCTAGTGCATTCGAGAGCTCCGCCCAGACTAACGCCGACCGGGCATTCTGAACGCACACTACACTCCCGAGCTTCCCAACCGTTTGTTTCTGTGTACAGGTGCGAAGTCATTCTATTCATCACTATTCATATAATTGAATAAAAATATGGAATATTTCGTCCTCTACGAAATCTTCAATAGTGTTTGTGTGTGAGAAGAGAGTGTGTGTTAATTGCCTGTAATACA